CACGTAATCGGCGTCAGGTGTGTCATTAAGAAGGCAAACAGTTTGTGACCGTTGCGCTGTTATGCTAAGTCGATACGGAATAAAAACAAGATACATACTGCTGTATTTATTGGACTGTTAAATTAATTCATGCATACCAGTGACATTGCGTCACCCCCCGTTAACGTCCACCTCAGTGGCTTCAAGCGTAGGCTTAGCCTCTACAACTATGTCAAACAACAGCATCTTCATCGTGATCAAACTTTAACTGAACTTTTGGGTTGAAAATATTCATTCATATTCACGAGAGTCAATAAATTTTAATCTTTAAAATGTGTTGTTTATTTCAGGTTTAAAAAAGGACAAGAGAAGGTTACCGACCTTGGTTTGTGGTGTAGCTCAGCAGTGAGATCAGAACTAAAAAGAAATGAAACAGAGGTTGGTTTAGAGGTTTTACACAGTTTGATCGAGCTACAGACTCATGCAGAATAAGCAGAAAAAGCAGGAAGTGATTCTCTCTTTGTTGTCTTCTACGCAAACTCGATATTTATGTGGAGAAACAAAAGAAGTGGCATCTTTAGGCCTTTTCAAAGATGAAACCCATTACAGTATACTTACAAAGCAGAAGAAATGATTTCTCCATTCTGTCTTTTGTTGATACTGAATTAATTCTTCTTGCATCAGTTCACTCACATAACACATGAACCTCCTCCTCCTTCCTCTGTTACAGGGTGTTAGTTCATGTGGTTTCCCCCCTCATCATTATTATGAGAAAAGATTCTTTGGTTTCAATACATGAGGAAATACACTTTTAATACAAGGCAGTGATCAAAAAGATGAAAAAAGGAGAGAACAATACACAGAAATGGTCAACAAAGCAAACCTTTGAGGAGAGAAAGACATCTACTCCAAATTTTACAACCAACGACACTTTAGAAAGCACTGCAGCGCTCAAGATGCAGGCTTGTGGGGGACAGAAACGAGGTAGGAACAGGCAGCAGAAGCAGATTTAAGATGAAAAATGAATTTAGTGCTGATGTTTGGGGAGCTGCATTTGCCATCATCAGTTAATATTACATATTTAAATAAATTATATCAAAACTATAGCAGTAATAACAGTTTGGAATTCTTCAGCTAGGGACGAGTGCAGAAAGGTGAAAGTCCAGAATGCAAGAAGCTGCCAGCATGCCCGAAACAACAAAGCGCAAAGTGTTGCTCTGTGTTGTCTGTTTTGTTTCATGTTGTAACCTGTTGTGGAGGTATTTTACAGCTCTAAATGAAAAAACTGCAAATAGTGATGTGCGTCATTGGATCTTCCAAGGAAATCCTGAATGCAAGATTGCAAGCAGGTTAATATTTTTCACCCTGTCACAGTCCAGGTCAGTTCTCCTCTGCCTGTCCCAGGGAGGAACTGTCTTCACCTTATCTGGAGCTAATCTGGAACAATCTGCTACAGATATTTAAGACCAGTGTTGCTGTCTCGTCACTGCCAGTTCATCAACTAACCCATGTTGGTAACAGGGACTCATGCCTCAGTCTCAAGTCTATGTACTTACCTTGTTCTCTTGTGCTTCAATTCTCTCGTCACAGCTCCACTCTTTGGCTCTGCTTGCTACTCCGACACCTTCTCTCCTCAAATCACCTCTGACTCCACCTGGAACGTATGCCTTACCCCTCAGTTAAATGTACACCTGTAGGAGTTCTATAATACACAAACTCCCTTTGTTCTTTCTCCTCAGTGCCACCACACTTGTTACCAAACATGCCCTGTCCCTGCCTCAGAGCTCCACACTAGTTTTCCTAGACACGAACCTCGTGCCAAGCATGATTTTATTCTGTGTTCACACTAAACTTTTTGCCACATTCCCATTGTTGCAAAAATAAAAGCATTGTGTAAAACTAACTCAACTATCTCTTCACTTGGTCCAGCACTTGAGCCCAGTTTTAGTATAGGCCTCTGGTCCTTTGTGACACTCACAGGGTAAGGACTAGGAAGCACTGACTGCAAGCATAAAACGATCTGGCAAAGACTGAACTGCAGCCTTTTCCTTATGAAGTGGTTCCATCAAACACAGAAGCCTTAGGCTACAAAATTGGCAGGTCGACACAATGGGCGACCATGACAATTTCATTTTATATTCATACATCTCCATTTGTCACGTGGACATATTCAGTTCAATTCAATTTTATTTATATATCACCAAATCCCAAAATCAGTTGCCTCAAGGCGCTTTATATTTTAGACCCTACAATAGACCCTACAATAATATACAGAGAAAAACCCTATAATCATATGACCCCCTATGAGCAGCACTTTGGCAACAGTGAGAAGTAAAAAATCCCTTTTAACAGGAAGAAACCTCTGGCAGAACCAGGCTCAGGGAGGGGCGGCCATCTGCTGCAACCGGTTGGGGTGAGAGAAGGAAGACAGGATAAAGACGTGTTGTGGAAGAGAGACAGAGATTAATATGCACCCATGCATGTGTACACACACACACACATTTTGTATTCTAAGTAAACAACAGAACTTGAATTTAAAACCTGTATACATGAGATTAAATTTAACATTTAATAAAGCTGAAAGTCACTGAGAGAACAGATCTCAGCCTTCAGTATTTTGCTGTATTGCAACCCTTTAGTCTCAAGGGAAAGTACCTTAGACTGATCAAAAGTAAGGGCACAATACAAAAAGATGTGATATATAAAGTAGACCAAAGTTTTTAACAGGCTGCAGAAGGCCATTTGGAAACACCTACCGTTGTTTTAAGGATGTCTTAAATACTCCAAAAAACTCTTCGAAACATGAAGAAAAAGGCTTTTTTTTTTTAAAATAAGTTTCCACAGTTCTTCTTTTCCAACCAGAAAAAGGATCGAAACCACCTCCAGCACCACTCAGCAGACTGCTACACCCTGCACTTTTGCAGGAGAGTGCAGGCCGTTCTGATCAAACTGATATGTAAATGCTTGTCTATAAAAGTTTCATTTAAACTTTGTGTGGTGAGTCTCTCTGGCTGGTTGAAAATAACCGATAACATTAGTATAACTGTCAGACTTCCAGCATCAGTTTATAGCTTATGCTGGTGCTCATGATGCTGCCTTTCATTTTCAACAATTTTGGTTCTGTCTGCCATTCTGAGTCACATTCATGTGACTGCAAGAGAGTGAAATGGCTGGAAGGTGAGATAGAAATGCAAGGGAATAATAAGGTTGGGAGGGGAACATAATAAAATTGAACATAAAAGAAAAGATAAGAGCTGCATAGAATAGAGAGAGGTGTGGTTCACTTTTAAGATCAACTATGTACACTGTAATCAGTTGGCTGAAAGAAGACCTGCAAAATAAAAGATTTGTAAAACCATTAAAAATCTTGGCTAAATTTAACATGTAACTACAAAATCCATAAAAATAAGTGTCCATTTGGATTTAAATCTTTTTGTCTTAACTGCCTCAATAAACAAAGAAAAGAACTTATAAAGTTTATGAACGCCTCTACAGACTGATTAGCTCTAACAATGCATCATTTGTTTCAGAACAACGCATGGCAGCAGCCTACATTCACAATGTACATATAGCTACCCCAAAAGGTTGATTGTGTTCATCTGGACGTAACGTTTTCAGTGGGAGAAACATTTCGTCACTTATCCAAGTGACTTCTTCAGTCTCACTGAAGTGGGCTGGTTTCAGTCATTGTGCAAATGTACTGTTTATAACGTTGGGGAAACCTGTAGTCAGATGAGATAGAAGCAGTCACTTGAGTGACGAAACGTTTCTCCCAATGAAAACGCTACGTGCAGATGAACAAAATCAACCTTTTAGGTATTTACTTACCTGGATGACTGAGCATGCATCAATAAATGTAGCTACATTTATAACAGGAAACTTAGAATTCAGAAAAAAACTTCAAACATAACTGTAGCCCTGGCTATATAAATAGCTCATTTACTTAAATTGTTTTTTTTCATATATTTTTAGTTAAATGCAAATGTCCACCGTGTTCAAAAATGTATACAAATGCCTGTAAGGTATCTGATGTATGTCAGTTAAATGCACAGCCTTTTTATTTGTATTTTGAGGTGTATGTCATTATTTTTTGAAATGTTATTGATATGTACTGCAGCTCCAGTGAACCCTGAAGTAGTCTCAGGTAGAGGGGGTGGGAGTAAGTGGGGAGCCGTATGCACTCGGCAGGCAGAGAGAGACGAGAGATGAACAACAGTGTCGTGTGGACGGAGAGTTCAAAGAAGGGCGACAAACTGATTTTCAGTTTGTCGGAGGAGACGGACGTCTTGCTGGCGTGTCAGAGAGGTCCCTTCTGCTGCTGTGCTGAACTTTCATGTTCACACGGGAACACATGGATATGCAACTGTGAGTGCTGCTGCCGTGCTCTGCTGGTGGCCTTGACCCAGTTTC